GGAAGTGATTTTCCCCAAGTTCTCGGCCCGTTCCCGGCCGGCCTGGAGCGGCCTGTTGGCGCTCTGCGTGCAGGAGGAAGCGCTGCCAGCACTGCACGCAGCGCGCTGACGCTGCAGACCCTCTGCTCTCCATCACCGTCGGGTCTTGCCCTTCTGTACGGTTGCTAGGAGACGGCTGGGATGCCGTTTTAAAATCCATCCCCAATATCCCCCTAACCCCTCAATAATCCAGTGGCTGATTTTCCTGACATAAATCATGACAATAAACTTCATGCTTTGAGCTACAAACACAACGAAAGCGAACCTGCCCTAGTGACATCCAGACCTTCACCCTCCTCCCTGAACGCAGGAAGCAGGCACACGAAAAATCACCAGATTTAAATCCTTTTCCCATCTCTGCGCTCACTTTTTCCACAAGAACTTGGATGAGCCATTGAAGCACTTTAGCTGGCCACGAGCCCAGCTTCCTTCCTCTCCCCAAAGACATTTTGGCCCTTTGATGAGGCTCAAATACATGTATTGGGCAAGTGTTTGCTCCAATGCTACAGCTGGCCCTTGTGAGTCTTGGGGATTAGTCCAAGAGGATGTACACCGACTGCCCGCCAAGGGGAATTCAGTCTTAGCAGAAAGATGGAAATTAATGATAATATCCATTTTGCAAAATACTGGTTCTGGAGAAATCAAATGCAGGGAACTGTGGGGATGACCATGTGACAAATACGCAGATTTCTGTGCTTATAAATAAGATGGGTTCTTAAGAAATGGTTTGAGAGGAGCTTAATGACGCCCAATTCACCCAATGCCCTTGAATCCAAACTTGTGATTTTCCGCTGCGAAGGGCCTAGAATGGATATTAGTTGTGCAATTTTTGATGACTGTACTTTCTTATGACCTAAACTGCAGTTCAAACTTGCAGTTTCAATCAATGAGGTGGAAACGGTATCCAGAAATATTAAGTTACTTCATTGCAACTAAGCGCCAACCATTCACTTGAGGATTTCTGCCAAACTAAAAGCTTGCAGTTCATACAGATGAGCTGTCATTGCACAGGAAAAAATACTTAAATACATTTTAAAATATCAACCAGTAACTTTAGATGGAGCCAGACTGGACTTGGGAGTTGGAATTCATGCCAGTAGGTCTGGAAGATGAGAAGAGATCACTATTAAAGAATCATTCTCCACAAGGTGGTAAAAGATGCTACGTGAGCTCTGGTGTTCACTGCCGAGTAAGAAGGGCAGGTCCGACTGCCTCGTGATTTAAGCCCAAGCTCTAGACAAGTCAGTCACCTAGTGGGAAGGAGGGAGAGCTGGATGTCAGTAATTTGAGCTATTTTCCATGTCATGACTGGGTTTTTGTAAATAAGACTTGGCAGGAAGAAGGTTAAATACCAAGGCGGCTGAAACTGAGTGAACGTTTCTCAAAATACACCTCAGAATCACAGAATCCTGAAATCCTTTAGGTTGAAAAAAACCCTTAAAGACAATCAAGTCAAACCATTAACCTAACACGGCCAAGTCCACCACTAAACCATGTCCCTCAGCGCCATACCGACACCTCTTGAATCCCTCCAGGGATGGTGACTCCAGCAGTTCCTGGTGCAACCTCACCTGAAAAATCAAGGATGGAGAGTAACCTGGGGCCGGAGCAGGGTCCTTCCTCTTCATGTCTTTAACCCGGGCCCCAGGGAGGTTAGCAGACTTCCCTGAGAAGTGGGTCTGGCATGTTTCCCTTCGGAAAGACGTCAGTGACCCTTTAAGCTTATCACACTGCAGTATCATGGTTTAACAATTTCTCCTTTTCTGGATGACGGTGTATTTTTAGATCTTTTTAAAATAAATCTGGGAGAAAGTGTTCAAGGCCGGAAGCAACAGTGCAGAGCACAGTCACGCTGTCCTTTAGTTCCACTTGCACAAGCCCGTGCAAAACAATTAGGCAACGGACTTCCCCAAACCCTTCCAGCGGCACAGAGAATCTGCTGCCCTCACCTTGTCCGTCTCCGAGGCCCCTGAGGAGCCCACTTTTCCCAGCGCAGCTTGCAACTGCCGCAGCCACCTGTTCCCCCAGTTTAATCCACAATGATGGATTCCCTTTCCCATCCCCGTGGCTTGCCCTAACTTCCACAAAGCTGTCCAGCCACTGCTCTCAGAAATCCGCAGCGGGAAGAGTTTTGGTTCTGAGCAGACTCTGCCCCACTTACACTGTTTATAGCAGGACGTCACCGCATCCCAACACCACAGCTGTCTTGAGGAACACCTTTTTCCTCTCGGGATGAGGTATGGTAACACCGCAGAGGGCACGGCGCCACCGAACTATCGGTTCAGAGGAGCCTTGTGTTCAAGGGGAAGCTCTGGAATCTCAGAGCAGAGGATGAGGCCAATTACCCATCGCTTCAGCACGGAGCACTTGAGCTTCTCATGCTCCAGAGAAAATGCCAGCTGTGGCTTCTAAATTCCCCTTCTTTTCCACCTCCCTACCTACGTTACAAAACATTTCTTTACAGATGTCTTTTGTTCCTCAACCAAAGCCACATAAACCAAGAGCAAACTGGGGAAGCTGGATTTGCCATCACATCAACAGCGTAACCATTACAATCATAACATCCACAGATGACCTTTCTGGAGTGATGTCATCTACCACACATTTCAGAGGAAACATGAGAAAGGCACGAGTGGCTGCTGTCGGCAAAAAAAAAAAAAAAAAAAAAGGTTAGACTGCAGTCTTTATCTGTTTGCCAGATCCACTGCAGGAAAGACGATGCTGTTGCGTGGCCTTTTATCGGGATAAAACCTGAAGCAGAGGCTCTTCAGCCACCTCAAGAGCCAGCGATGTAAAACAGAAGCAACAAAAGGTGGCGAGCCTAACCGAAACGGTTTCCTCAAGCCTGACCAGCCTGACCTCTGCTATCTCTTCTTTACAAGCTTATTTCAAATTAAAACTTAAGCTTCTTTAAATGAAAACAAGGTTATTTACATTAAACTAATTGTAGAGGGATGCCGTGGTGTTTCTTAAGTTGGAAATTAGAACGGCTGTCAGAGAAAGCCGATTTTCTCACATCCAAATCCATAAGGGGGTGAGTCTTCGAATACATGCTGCTGCTCAGCACGGCTCCTCTCCTTTCTCACAGACACCAGGAGGCTGCTCCGCACTCTGGAGATTTCACATTCAATTCCTAAAATCTACCTTAGGATTCGGAAGGCAAGACATCAGACAATACCTGGTTATTTCCACATGCTATCTTTTCAGCTCAGTTTTTCCGGTATTTCTAAGAGTGTTCCAAAATGAGCCATTCTATCCTCAAGTTTTAACGTTTCATCGTGCAGCTCAGAAACACAGAGCTTTTCTAAACCTTTAAACGGCTGCACTCACAGCAAACCAGCAAATAGAAACTCTTATTTTGCAGTTTTATTCTGCATAAAACAGCAGGGAAGCAAAACTGCCTAATGCCTTCGAAATGGGCATTCTGACTTGAAAGGGAATCCACCTGAATTATTACATCTTAGACATTTAATTCCCCTCCAGAGCAATAGCTCCTTAAAAGGAAAAATCAAACTCCCTCCCACAACACACATTTGACCCAGTCTTTTAATTCATTCCAAAATCATCCAGTTTTGAAGCCCTTAAAAATAGGTATATTATCAAACATATATAAATAAATACCTATTATATGTTATAAATATATATAATTTAAATATGTATAAATACATATATCTAAAAATAAGTCAGCATAGTTTTGCTCATCTTCACACGCTTCCATGGCTGTGTGAAGGCACTAAATCCGAGGGCTGGTCTTGGACCCTCCAGAAGGGACAAGGACTCATTCATAGCTTCCATCCTGAGAGCCTGTCCCAAATACCTCTCTCCCCTACAAAGAAGCGCACTTCTTCATCATCTTCTGTTAGTCTGGCTTGGATGCCAGAAGAGCTGTCTTCTGCAGCAGGCCGAGGACAAAATATGCATCTAAGGAACACTGGAACAGCTTTCCAGGTCAGAATCCTTAGGCTGGAAAAGACCTTTAAGATCACCAAGTCCGCCCGTTAACCCAGCACTGCTCATGCACCCACTAAACCGCGTCCCACAGCGGCACTGCTCGTGCCACCACTAAACCGTGTCCCTCCGCGCCTCCTGCGCACGACTGGTAAATCCCTGCAGGCAGGTTAATTCTCAGCAGCTCCAGGCAAGGGTGCAGGCTGCTCCCTGCTGTAAAGCTGTAGTGCTGCATGGAAATACGAGAGCCGATATTCCGGAAAAGACAATTTCCCCACACACCAGAGATCAGAGCAAAGCTGGGACCGTAAATCAGGAGCCCTGCCTCAATCTCAGTCTCTTCGAAGTGGAAGTACATTGCTTCTATGACTAAATAAACTTATGATCAGCCCAAAAAATCTGCTATGTTACACACATGAAGTGCAACCAAATCCTTCTTTAATGCTGTGCTATTTGGGACAGGGTTAATTGTCCTCGCAGGAGCCAGCATGAGGCCGTGTTTTGGTTGTGCTGAGAAGAGTATCGATAACACACCAATGATTTTAATTGTTGCTAAGCAATTTGTACATCAAGCCAAAGCCTTCTCCAGTTTCTGATACTGCCCCTGTTCTCCCAGCTTCTCCTCTACAAGGGGAAAGCATGGACAGCTGACCCAAACCCACCGAAGGGATATTCGATGCCAAACGTCATGCTCAGTATATCAATTGAAGGAGCAGGCCGGGGGTCACTCTCGCTCTCGGGTTCAGTCTGGCTCTCCGCTCCGGCTCTCGCTGCCTGGGCACTGGCCGGGAGCTGGTCAGCAGCTGGTGAGCGGCTGTATCATGTGTTTTCTTTTCCACTGTTTTCATTACATATTCCAGTGCCTGGGGGGGCTACAAGAAAGCTGGGGGGGACTTTTCCCAAATGCAGGGAGTGACAGGACAAGGGTTTAAACGAAAAGAGGGAGATGGAGATGGGACATCGGGAAGGAATTCTTTCCGCAGAGGGTGCGAGCACTGGGACAGGTTCCCAGAGAAGCTGTGGATGCCCCATCCCTGGGAGTGTCCAAGGCCAGGCTGGATGAGGCTTGGAGCAACCTGGTCTAGTGGAAGGTGTCCCTGCCCGTGGCAGGGGATCACACTGGGTGGGCTTTAAGGTCCCTTCCAGCCCAAACTGTTCTGGGATTCTATGATATTAGTAGCAATATTAGTATTATTATTATCTTATTTAATTTATTTTCAATTATTCAACTGTTCAACCCACGAGTTAATCCTTGTCTTTTCCTCCGATCCTGCCCAGCCCCCAGGAACGAGGAGGCGAGCGAACGGCTGTGGTACTTGGTTCCTGCCTGGGGCTAAACCACGACAAAAGCCAAAGTGATTTCTGTGTAAGTCTCAAGTGTTTCCCCCACGTACACTCAGGGAGACGGGTGCACAGCCCAAGGAGGAAGACAGGAAGTATTAGGATACTCTGGACCAGAGTCTGGTCAGGGCTGCCAAGGCTGGCACTCCTAATTCTACTGCAAGTCTCTGGCTCCATCTAGAGATTAACCACTCAAACTGCAGTACTGGAACTCCAGGTACAACACATGCAAAGAAGGAGGAAAACGTGGAAAATAATACCACAATCGCTTTAGGCACTCCCATCCCTTTTTTCTTCCGTGCCAGGAGAGATGGAGACTGCCCTGCATGCGTCACCCGAACAGTCACACTAACTCGTGGGTTAGCACCCACTAACGTGTCAAATACAAAACAAGAGTTTTGCAATCCGGATATGCTAGAAAGAATTTAAATTATGTTATTCCTTGCATTCACTGCTGTCACTGGTGAAACGCTCTAGGACAAACAGAATGATTCACCGAACTGATCTTATCTGGGTACAGGAAGAAGATGCTACTGCCTTTGTTGTGCTGTTCCCAGGTAGAGCAGCATAAACAAAGTGCACTAATCATTTTTTTGCTGAATAAACAGGAAAAAACAGTACCAAGATACAACGTCGCAGTAGATAAAGACCCACCAGAGCTACGTAGTCTGTCCTGTTTACATCAAATTTCGAAACAGCTGAGAGGGATGCACCTGTAGTAAGCTCACGCCACAGGAAGAGGGTTGGAGGAGAGAGGATAGAATTAAAACTAAACCCAAAGCAATTCTCTCCAGCAGCAGTAAAGCACCACAGGATCGGTCCAGGAACGTGAAACAAATTTAACATGAATGCAGAGCTCACCCTTCTGAGGCTCCTTTGCCCACCTAAGAAGTGGGCATCAGTAATCTCACCTCTACATCCTGCTTGTTGGCTAACACCAGAATGGGAACCCCTTCCAGAGCTTCGCTGGTAATCATCTTCTCTATAAAGCACAAAAACAGAGGAAGATAAGGATATCCTGGAAGGTAAAAGCCGTGCAAATGCCAGACACAGACACAGGGATGAGACAAGAGGCTCCTTCTGGCATTACGGTTTCCTTTCACACAACTTTTCAGGTCTGTTTTCTTCACAGAATTTTTTCCGGGGCAAACTCCAAACTTCATTTTAGCATGTCACAGCGTTAACGAGGTGATAAACACAGAGTAAGGAATAAACATTTCAAAACCATTAGCATAAGCACAAGAAGAGATCCAAGGCCTTTACAGGCAGCCAAAGCGAGCCCCGTGCTACAGACAAGACAGACTCCAACAAAAACGTGCAAAAGCAGCAGGGGTGTGTCATCAACAGGCCACACGGCTTACTTCGGGGGCACCGGGACAGACAGGACAGCCAGGAGGAACCTGTGCCACAGTACATCCTGAAATCACACACAACCTACTCACCAAAAGCTCTTTTAGATTCCGAGAGCCTCTCCTCATCCGTGGAGTCAATAATGTAGATCACACCATGAGATTCAGCATAATACTGAAAGGAAAACACAGACATTCGTGTATCATCCCACCAGGACCTTTCGTTTCTCTCCCTATCTTTTTTTTAATTTGGTATAATTTTGATACACATGGAAGAGAACAACCAGTTAGAACCAGCTGTTTCCACAGTTCATGCCTGGAGAGAATGGCGGCACACAGAACGCGCTGCCTGTTCTCTCTGCAGGCCTACTGAGTACCACTCATCTGTCCCCCCCGAAAAGCTTGTCTCTACCGGCACAACCCATGGGCTGGCAACTGCTGTCCGTAGACAATAATGCAAATATTACGCATTTTCTTTGCTAATTTTGCACAGATACAGTTAAAGGCCTGGAAAAAATCTGATGCTAAATACTAGGGTTACCCCTGAGCCTGTAGGATCAGACTGCTTCAATTCTAAGGGACAAAAACATTCATAAAAGGAAAAAAAACCATCTCCAACCTTGTCCCAGAGAGACTGTAGCTCCTCCTGCCCACCAAGATCCCAGAACATTAGCCGAGTTTTGCCAACATCGATAGTACCAACTAGAAGGAACGAAGGAAAAACAATCCAAATCAAGCCGAAGGCGTTCTCTACAGCATCAGCCCCTGCACATCCCCGAGAAACGCGGGATAGCACAGCCTTCCAGAGGAACAAATCACAGGCAGCAGCTACTTTGAACGACAATTCCATCGCAAGGAGTGCAAATAATACCAGAATCAGGCCAAGGAGTGACCTCCGGTGAAATTTAGCTTAAACCCTGAGCATAGCACTGATGATACATGGGTTTAAGGCTTCAGGGTTTTCTCCTCACAAGCTAAGCAAGTCTGGTTTATTCTCTTACAAAAAGACATGAGGAGTTGGGAGATACAATCTCTACTCCCAGGGAACTATTTTGCCCTTTTCAGTTCGTAAATATTTCAGACAGGAACCAGCTGTTGTCTAACAGTGCAGGAAAGCTGAAAAATTCCAGATTCACTTACTGTTTAACCCTACAGTGGTTGTGATTTTGGACAAACTCATCCCTTTGTAGTTCTTGTTAAATCGAGTTTTAGTTTGCTCAAGGAAGGTCTGAAAAGGAACAAGAAGAGGTATTTACTCTCAAATATTTTACAGGCTGGGGCAACCCTACCGCAAACCTGCCCTTCCATGTCTGCGGCATCCTGCTCCGACAGACAGTGCCCTACCTGAGCTTGGAACAAACAGCGCGTCTTGTTCCCTGCTTTAGCAAGGGAAGAAGGGATCACAGGGATTACGGGATTACCCAAGCCTCAGCTACATCCCTGAAAGCTTATGCTAAATTTAAGTGAGAGGGAAAAGTCGGTTCTTTGGTGTGCCATCACCAACACAACCCAGGATGCAGCCGAAGAAAGTCTGTCGGAAGTTTTCTCTCTGGAGGATGTTTAGAGTTGCGTGTGCCCTCCACGCAATTGGTAATAAACAGCACTTACGGTTTTACCAGCATTGTCCAAACCAAGGATCAAGATGCAGTACTCATCCCTCTGGAACATGTATTTATAGAGTCCGGACAGCAGAGTATACATCCTGCTCCTGCAACAAGTACCATGAGATCATTAACAAACAGGTCATTTCCCAAAGTCTCTCATTCCACAACGCAAGTTCTCCCCGACACCAGATAAATAAATGACGTTATTCTTTTATCAGTAACTCTCATATTTAGGCAATCCCAGGACAAATCACGGACAGATCATGCAAACAGCTCAAGATCAAATTTCCAAATGCATACATGCGAGGGATTATCTTCCTGTTCCTGCACATAGCAGCCAGCATCCAATGCAAACTCAACCCTCACTTCCAAACCATCCTGTCTGCTTCAGGGCTTAAAGGAGAGCTTGAATGTCTTTTGTGGTGCACATAAGACCCACAAAAAATGAAGTCAGCTTCATACAAATACACAGAATGGGTATTTTGAGCAAGAATGTACAGGCCAGTCTCCCCATCCTTCTTCCTGATCTATATAACAGTATCACAGGATCCTTAATGCTTGAGGTCGGTGCAGTGTATCTTAAAAGGCACATAAAAACCCTACTGATCTTCATTTAAGCCGTGTCCTGTGACAGCCTTCTGTCACAGTACCCACCACACAAGTATTCTGTCATGTTACAACGCCACGAAGACGAGACAGGTAAGTTTACCAGCCAAAAGCACCAGATGAAAAATCAGACAAAGCGACACCAAGACCTGCAGAAGCCCACAGGCTCTCTGCTGTTGGATTTGCACAAACAAGGCAGAGATTCGCTGAGATGCGGGAAGCATTGGTACCAAGTGCTACAGCTGACTCAGAACTTTGCAACAACTCTCCTGTTTAAGTACAGACAAAGGGAACCTCAAGGCAGAAACGTTGCAAGGGAACTTTGAGCAAGTGTGCAGATAAATAATCACTGTGAATTCAAACAACATCGCCAAAAGGAAAAACCAGAAGCGTTCCAGGCCCGAAGTGAGGGATTTCTCAGGCTGGAGCAGAGTCAGCGTGAGGACAGGGCACCTCAGGGCACAGGGTCTTTCCCCGCCGAGCGAGCGGGGACCCTTCACCTCCGGCCGTGCGAGACGCACCGGCTCACCCCGACCCCGGGAAGGGATGGGGGACAAACCCCCGGCCCACTTCCCCTTCGGCCGGGCAAGTGATCCTGGACGTGCCCAACCACCGGCGCGCTC